CAATATGTTGACAACAGGCATCACATTCTTACTATTCTTGTAACAATGATGCTGTCGTTCATAAGTATTGATCTGTGCTGATGTATTAAAGTTTCATAGAAATCCCTAAAAATGTTGTTTATTCTTCCAGGAGTCATATATTGTGTTCCCCGATAAATCTTTAGCAGCACATATAGTTGTTTTTTCTTTATTTATTTTTAACTGGTTAGCTAGAAATCGACCTGATTTGTTACTGTGTTCAAAATTCTGCAAGCGAAGTCTTTGTATAAGGAATTGTGTTTTTTTATTAATAATTTCATTTAATTCTAGTTTTGTTTTGCGTATTTTGTTCAATGTTTCCTGATCTTGGTCGCACGCGTAGGCTTCTTCTAGTGATTTGATGGTTTTTTCTAATTCCTGAATATTTTTGTTTTCTTCTTTCTTTTTGTGTGATGAGAAAGAAATTATTTTACCTCTCATCACAGCTTTCCCTGCTTCCCATAGAACAGAAGCAGATATTCCAGGAGTGTCATTAAAGTCTAAATATGAAGTCCATTCCTTTTTAAAATATTTAATAAAGTCTTCATCTTTAAGCAGTGATGTATTAAATCTCCAGTTTTTACTTGGCGTAGTATTATTCTTGTGCATTAGTGTTAAAGATACAGGAGCATGATCGCTGACAGCTATAGGATGAATCTCAGTGTCTGAAATGTCACACAGCAGTGAGCTGCTGACCAGAAAATAATCCAGACGAGAGTAAGAGTGATGAACATGCGAGAAAAAAGTATATTCCTTACTGTTGGGGTGAAGGGAGCGCCATGCATCGCGAAGGCCAAAGTCGCTCATATACTGTTTGATTATATTTGTGGATTGCCAATTGCGCTGAGTTCCTGTTGTGTTGAGCCTATCCATTTCTTCATTTAGTCCAAGGTTGAGGTCACCGCCAAGAATGAGTGTGCAATCGAGGTGTTCAGAGAGTGCACTAAAAAATCCGTGGAAGAATGAGGGTTCATCAACATTTGGACCATATATACTTACAATACATAGTTTTTTGTTCAATATTGATAGTTTAATAATTAGAAATCTACCCTCTGGATCTATAACTGTATCGAGTACTGTAAAATTAACATTTTTATGTATTAAAATTGCTACTCCCCGTTGTCTAGAATTATAACAGGCTGCAAACACGTTAGGAAACTCAGGTGTTTTAAGTTCGTTTAAACCTGTGACAGGTCTGTGAGTTTCTTGTAATAAAACAACATCTGCCTGTAGTTTTTTAAGCTGGTTAAATATCTTTAACCTCTTTCCTCTGGTGCCAGCTCCATTTACATTCCATGTGACAAACCTCAGCATGCCCATAATTGTGTGTGTATGTCTAATGATGTACGCTGGGTGTTTCGTTTAGACAGGTGGAGAGAATGTGGAAACATCCCTTGTTTGTAAATAGAAAGAGAGAGAGAAAAGAAAAAAAAGGTGTGGTGAGAGGCTCCATAAGTCTGACTATGTGTGTGAATATTCACTAATATGAACAAGCGTGGCTTGTGTTATGTGTCCTGCAAGTCTGTGCGTGCTGTGAGGCTGTTGTGAATGTGCTGCCGTTGAGCGGATGTGTTTGCGTGATCGTGGTGTGAAAATATGGAGAAATAGAGGGTGTTGTTTGTAGGTGAGTGGGGAAGTAGGTGACCACAGCAGTGAAAGACAAGAGAAAGAAAGAAACCACATGAACTGTGAGCAACAACAACAAAAAAAAGAAATGAAACGGAAACATTCTTGACTGGTTCATTCTTCATTCTTGATTAAAAATCAGCTGCATATACCAAGATAACCAAATACCAATATACCAATACCATATACCAAGATGAAATGAAGGTGGACGTTTCAGCAAGACAATGGTCCCAAACACAGCCAAGGAAATTCTCAGTTGGTTTCAGAGAAGGAAAACAAGGCTGCTAGAATGGCCCAACCAATTACCTGACCAATTGAAAATCTATGGAAAGAACTAAAGAAAGAAAGAAAATTGGTGACGTTTCAATAGTTATTTCATATCACCAGTTATTTCCATGAGTAACATTTTTAACAGGCTTTAACAGGTTTCTTGTATGTGAGGTATCACATAATGCAGAATGACACTGATAACACTCTGAATAAAAGATTAAAAATTGTTGCAAACTGGGAAAGACACCATTTCCCTTGTTTTTTCCATGTTGGTTTAATCACTGCTAACAAAATGGTAAATGGATTAGTACCTATATAGCACTTTTCTACTCTATTTGATGAGTCAAAGTGCTTTCTTACCATAAGACTCATTCACCCGTACTTTCATATAAGCAAATTATTTTCTGTTCCTAAGTACTTTTAACCTAACATTCATACACTCAAGTGTGCATCAGGGGAATCTGATTTTTTGATATCTTGCCCAAGGATACTTCAACATGCAGACCACAGGTGCCTGGGATTGAACCATTGACCTTCAGATTAGTAGACACCCGCCTCTCCTTTTTGAGACTTTGATGGGCTAATGTTAATTTAATGTTTCAACTGGTTTTAAGGATTTTGATTGGAGTTTGAGAACTTTGATGATACTGGTTCAACTAAAAATTAATCGTAATATATATAAATATATAACAATTTTGTTTGTTTTGCAGAAAGGTGGTGGAGCCATCTTCAACACAGTGAAGACCAAAGCAAACCCAGCTATGAAGACAGTTTATAAATTTGTGAGCACTTTAGTGACTTTTGAAATTTCTTCCATGTATCAGCTATTAATATTAATCCCCTGTGTTACAATATGAGCTAACATGGTGATCAACCATATCAGCAACAGACCTTGTGTGTTACAAAGCTATATTGTTTCAAGGTTTAATTAACAGAGCTCCTCTGAAAAGTATAAAGGATCTGTGAGCATGAGGTGTCGACGTGGGTGATACTCTGCACCTTTATTCTTATTTACGTAGTTTCACTGTGTAGATGAGACTTGCCTCAACTTTCCTTTGAAATGTAAGAATCATAAGAAGATGTAAATACATTCACAATGGAAATGACCTATGTGTGCTTATGTGCTCAACAGGCCAAGGACCATGCAAAAATGAGGATCAGAGAAGTCAAGAGTCGGTTGAAGCAAAAGGTATTGATTTGTTTTCCTGCTCTGAATCATTTGGGAGTTTTAATCATGAATTATAAATGATGGCTTCCCTAATCTGATTCCTCCCTGGCATCTTTCTTGGCCTTAAGACAACAATTCTGATGGCCAAAGATCCAAACGGGACACAAAAAAAAGAAAAAAAAAGAATGAACCAGTCATTTGTTTCATTTATCCTTCCTTAAATTATATGAAGTGTGCCATAATGAAAAACAGTCCCATGCCATGATGTTCCCACATCCATCATCAACCTTTTGACTTCAAAATATGGTGTATATTATGGCAAAAACATTCAATTTTGTTCTCATATGAGATGTTTCTTGTGTGACACCTTGGTAATGAGACATCTTTTTTTATAACCCATCAGTTAGGACAAAAACAGCTGATATTATTTTGCACTAAGTGGCAGCTTTTTAACTACTGATGAATTTCAGCTGGTGTCATGATTTTGTTTTCACCTCCCTTTCGTCACCTGCTTGGTTCTTTTTCCCTGCGTTATTTCGTATTATTACACAATTTATGGACATTGTGTAATAATCTATGATTTGATTTCTTTGCATGTGTGGATTGAATGGATAGCTACCAACATCTGGTGAGAATTTTATGCCAACAGCATCTTTAGAAATATATTTATTTAGAAAATTGGTGATGTGTTCAATACTTATTATACCTGTTGTATTTTTATTTTTATATATTAGCACCTACAATTATATAAAGCACTGAAACACATAGAACAAAGTGAGTCGAATAAAGGAGTGAATGCAACATAACATTGTCTGTTTGCAGAATCAGACAACACGATGTGTTTATACACATCCGCATTTAATCATTAAGTATTATTAATCTCCGGCTCTCTTCCACAGCATGTCTCTGTCCTGTCTTCATCATCTCACCCCCAAGTGGTCTTGGCAGATGGCCACCCCTCCCTGAGCCTGGTTCTGCTGAAGATCTCTTCCTGTTAAAGGGGAGTTTTTCTTTCCCACTGTCACCAAAGTGCTTGCTCGAGGGGGAGGGTTCTAATTGTTGAGTTTCTCTCAGTTTTCTCTGTATTATTGTAGGGTCTTTGCCTTATAATATAAAACACCTTGAGGCCACTGGTGTCGTGAATTGATGCTATATAAATAAAAGTGAACTGACTTGAAAACTTGGTTATCCAATGTGACAATGATCCCAAGTACACCACCAAATCTACAACGGCATGACTGTAAAAGGAAAGAATGAAGTTGCTGCACTAGTCAAAGTCCAGGCCTCAACCTGACTAAAGCACTCTGTGTAAATAAAACCTGGAATGTTGCACAAAGAAATGGGCACAAATTCCAAAAGAGAGAGGCTGAAAAATTTATACAGAAAACAATTATTTCAAGTTACTGCTAAAAGTGGCTATGCAAGTTATTGAATCATGGGATATATGTAGTGTTTTTCACACGTTTCGACAGAGATTTGTGCTGGTGTGTGAGACCATGACCTAACAGCATAGCAGATAACTGAAACAATATTTCAAAAATTGATACAATTGCCAAAAAACCTACATGTTCAACCCTCTGGAGCCATTTATTTTTAAAATTAATTCCATTAGATGCTGAATTTTCAAAATTTCCATGATTTCTATCTTAGCAAACAGCTGTTGTCAACAGATGGGTAAAATTTTACTCTTGATTTATATGCTTTTGACTATAAGTAAAATATATAATTTAAAAACTTCCTGAATGCTTCTTTTTCCTTCTAACAAAACAAGATAATTGAGATGACATATGTTTACATGTTTCAATAATATCTACAGCTGCAGAGTGCAGTGCAGGTTGAGGGATTACCCTCTTAACCCCTTTGATTTTATGGATACAACTTGGTTAAGAAACTAATCTTAGTATTCAGATGTGCTTACCTTTACAGTGAACAACCACTGGTGGTAGGTTTTGTCACTGCCTGTGGGGGAGAAACAAAAATACACAGCATCAAGCAGGTGGAATACTGGATACTAGATGAGGAAATTTCATATCCTATTACAGAGCATAAATAGTATTCCAGTGTGAATACTGACCTGCATATTCACTCATGTTGATCTCCTCCTCAAAGATGTCACTAAAACCTTCGCCTGAGTTCAGCAGGTCTAAGCGGCCGTCAATGAACTGCAGGTCAAACCAAAACACATGAGCCAGCAAAAGGAAGCTTGTGTGTGTGCGTGTGGCCTTTTATAGTAAAATGTATTTATTTTTATTTTATCTTTACACTTTCACAGTGAAGACATTGTGCCAGTACAGGTAAAGGTTAGTAGGCTAATGTTTAGTGTTAGGCACAGAGACACAGTGAGGGGTGTAAGCATATAAATACCTGTTTGAAGAACTGCAGCTGAATGGCATTCTGAAGGAACTGTCTCATGGCACTCGACCGATGGTTTAGAAAGGTTTCTTCATTAAATGTTATACGTTCTTCCTAAAATGCAGAAAAAAATACCAACTGTCACAGTACTTTATAATAGTGTATAACTCAGGGATGTGAAAAAAAAGTTTCACATGATGCCATAATCACATTGTTTTCTTTTTCACATCACTGCATTTATAAAGTAGTGTCTTACATAAAGGAGCAAAGAAACCAAATTTAGTCCATCCTATGGTGACTGACATCTGACATTCCTTTCGAGCTCAGCCCCTCAGGGTTTAAGTGCTTGGAATTAATACTACACGTACTTTGCCTTCACAGTTTTCTGAAAATTAGAGCCCCCTGCTATCCCTTTGTCACCAATAGGCAGGATTAATGTTATCAAAATGAATGTGCTACCCAGGTTTCTCTTTTTATGTCAGGGGAAATAGTATTCCCCTATTTCTGTCCAAACAGTTATTTAAGTCCTCAGACCAGATGGTTTCTTCTTTTCTGTGGAAGGGCTCTCTCTATTGCAAAAGTTCACCTCTAATGGGGATCTTTCCCTACCAAAATTTTTGATGTATTACTGGTCTTCACATACTTAAACGTAAATTCACTTACTGCCTAAATTCACCGGATCTGATTTGGTGTAAACTTGAAATTCAATTCTTCCACCTTTTTCACCCACCTCTCTTATCTATTATTAAACTTCTTCTAAATCTTTTGTTACTTTAAATCCCATAGTGCTCTCTACACTTAAGATTTGGTCTCAGTTTAGATCTCATTATAAATTCATATCTTCCTCTAGCAGAATACTGTTGTTAAGAAATCGTCATTTCCCCCTGCCACCACCTATGCCGCTTATTTGATCTGGCATAAAAGAGGCATAAAAACCATGCAAGCCCTTCACAAAGAGAATGTCTTTCTTAGCTTTTCAGAGCTGTCCCCAAAATTTAACCTGCCTCCTTCTCTTGTTTCTCTGCTTTTAAATTAGACACTGTATTTCATCACTGTTTCCAAATTTTCCAAATTCTCCCTGCTGACCCACCATGTGTTGACCTTCTGGTTCTTAGGCCTAATCAGAAATTAACTCTATCTAATATATATCATACACTTATGGCGACTGAATCTGACTCATCAAGTAAAATCCAAACTGCGTGGGAGCGTCAATTAGGTGCTGAAGTGTTTGAATCATGGTGGGATAACATGATTCTCGCCATACTTTCAAGTACACCATGTGCTATGTTATGGCTTGTACAGTTTGAAGTTTTAAACAGTCAATTTTTCAAATTCCCATTTATCTAAAATCTTTCCTTCAGTTCTAGATCAGTGTGACAGATGTCAAACCTCACATTGTAACCTAAGTCATATGTTTTTCTCCTATCCAAGTTTGCACAGATTCTGGAGTGATTTCTTTTCTGTACTTTCAGGACTTTTTGAAATCCAGATCAGAAGAGACCCTCTAATTGCCATATTTGGAGTTCCAATGACACCTCTTAACCTATCCCCCAGCAAACTGAGATCTTGGTTTTCTTTTCCCTTCTTGCTAGATGCTGTGACTAAGTTGAAAAGATTTGATATTTATTATTATTTGATTTAGTCACAGCACCCCTCCCTTTTTTTTTTTTGCTTTCTGTTCTTGTGTTCGTATGACGTTTTGCATATTTTAATATGCTTGGAGAAATCTAATCACATATAAGATGTATATAATGTGTACAAGCTTGTATAACATCTTGACAAAAAATAAAAGAAAAATAAAATCTGAAGTTAAAGTTAGGTAAATGATGACCATAGACACTATAAAACAATTATATTTTATATCAAACTTCTATACTGTCTATGATGATGAGGACTTTCGTTCTTCCGCCTCATTTTTTTTTAAATAATTATCATGAGTACCACATGTTCATATTCCTCAGTCCACTGGGTTAAAATGGAGACTGCACTTTATCTACTTGTAGCCACAGTGAATTGTGGTAATAGAGCACAATAGATGATGGCTTCAACAGATCAGCACTTCCTGCCTCACATCCAAAGCAGACATGCTGACTGCAATTTGCAGTGCACCGTCCAGTTTGGTAAGCAACAGCTTTCATTTGATTTAATACGTGCAAGAAATGCCTTGAACATTGACCTTACTTGAATGGTCCTGTTACTTAAACTAACAGTTTAGATTGCAGCAGTTTGAGTGCTTCACATATTATATCTTTGCTCCATTCATGGGTGTGATCTAGTTCGTGCACTGACCGACTCAATCTGCAGCGCACTCCTGTAGCTGCCGAACAGAGCTGCCTGACTCTTGAGGAAGGCTCGAGCCACACAGTCTCCTGTTGTTGCTGAAACCTTCTTCAGTCGACTTTTCAAAGCAGAAACCTTAAGGTATAAAATTTAGTTATTAGAAAACACTTTCAACCTGGAATGGTTGCTCAATTTTTATAAAACTGTTTCTCAACAGGATAGCAGTCCTATAGTTCCTTACCACATCATTGGGAAGGCTTTGGAGGTCATCATAGGGGCTTTCAAGCATGTTTGTATCTACATTAAGGACCACCACATCATCCAGAGCCATCCCTCGAACTTTCTACATGCAGTTGAGAGAAGACATGGCATAATACCAAGTGTCAAAATACACAAAGATTTTTGTATAGACGCCAAACGTTCAAACAACTAGTTCATACCAGAGAAAGAATGACTGAAAAAAATTAACTTTTTCTACTAAATGCCAGTTGAACACACCTACCTCCATTAGGCTGGAGTGGACTCCAATGAGGTAAGGCATCGGGGCACTGGGGGGGAAAAAAAGCCACACATAGCTATAAATGAGCTAATAGCTTGGTTGTGTAATCTTAACACTGCTTTTCAGTCTAGTTGGCAGGCACTTCCACAACCTATTAAGATATTTTTTCTCATTCAACTCCAGAAACAGTGTGCAAGAGATGCTGCAATTATTTTGCTGATTGCAAGATCATTCAAATTTATCAAGACAAAAGGTAAACATTGAGGAAATTAATTATTCGATTAAAAAAAGGAGTCAGCCCAAAAACATGAAGGTGTCTTACTGAAATATGAACTATACTTTACATATAAATTATATTCTGCAGATCGCATTTGAGTGTGCCTTGGCACCATGTGTTTTACCATGTAGAGAATCTGGAGTGTAGATGATGCCCAGTACACTCACCAACAGTAGTCTAACAGATGCTGAGGCAAGACAGGGATGTAAACATGTTGCCAGTGCATTGGAAATAACATGGCTGCAGACCCATGGACACAAGCTGTTAACTGTGAACACCCAAAGAGATGTTTTGTTTTTTAGACAATATGGAAACTGCACCAGAAAAACTGATTCCAAAGTGACCATATAGACCAAAGTGCTGGTCTAGATGGGAAGTAACCAACACAAAATTAAACTATGGTCCCATTAACTTCCAGAAAGACAGAATAGGGTCTAGGATGAGTGCGCTGTGAAGAAGAAAACAGTCATTTGTTCATTTATCCTTCCTTAAATTATATGAAGTGTGCCATAATGAAAAACAGTCCCATGCCATGATGTTCCCACATCCATCATCAACCTTTTGACTTCAAAATATGGTGTGTATTATGGCAAAAACATTCAATTTTGTTCTCATATGAGATGTTTCTTGTGTGACACCTTGGTAATGAGACATCTTTTTTTATAACCCATCAGTTAGGACAAAAACAGCTGATATTATTTTGCACTAAGTGGCAGCTTTTTAACTACTGATGAATTTCAGCTGGTGTCATGATTTTGTTTTCACCTCCCTTTCGTCACCTGCTTGGTTCTTTTTCCCTGCGTTATTTCGTATTATTACACAATTTATGGACATTGTGTAATAATCTATGATTTGATTTCTTTGCATGTGTGGATTGAATGGATAGCTACCAACATCTGGTGAGAATTTTATGCCAACAGCATCTTTAGAAATATATTTATTTAGAAAATTGGTGATGTGTTCAATACTTATTATACCTGTTGTATTTTTATTTTTATATATTAGCACCTACAATTATATAAAGCACTGAAACACATAGAACAAAGTGAGTCGAATAAAGGAGTGAATGCAACATAACATTGTCTGTTTGCAGAATCAGACAACACGATGTGTTTATACACATCCGCATTTAATCATTAAGTATTATTAATCTCCGGCTCTCTTCCACAGCATGTCTCTGTCCTGTCTTCATCATCTCACCCCCAAGTGGTCTTGGCAGATGGCCACCCCTCCCTGAGCCTGGTTCTGCTGAAGATCTCTTCCTGTTAAAGGGGAGTTTTTCTTTCCCACTGTCACCAAAGTGCTTGCTCGAGGGGGAGGGTTCTAATTGTTGAGTTTCTCTCAGTTTTCTCTGTATTATTGTAGGGTCTTTGCCTTATAATATAAAACACCTTGAGGCCACTGGTGTCGTGAATTGATGCTATATAAATAAAAGTGAACTGACTTGAAAACTTGGTTATCCAATGTGACAATGATCCCAAGTACACCACCAAATCTACAACGGCATGACTGTAAAAGGAAAGAATGAAGTTGCTGCACTAGTCAAAGTCCAGGCCTCAACCTGACTAAAGCACTCTGTGTAAATAAAACCTGGAATGTTGCACAAAGAAATGGGCACAAATTCCAAAAGAGAGAGGCTGAAAAATTTATACAGAAAACAATTATTTCAAGTTACTGCTAAAAGTGGCTATGCAAGTTATTGAATCATGGGATATATGTAGTGTTTTTCACACGTTTACGAGATTGCGGTGTGTGAGACATGACCTAACAGCTAGCAGATAATGAACTCCATCCATTCGACTTCGCTTATCCTAGGTCGGGGGCTGGACACCACGTCATGCGGAGCGGGTAACTGGACAGGTGCAGTCTTCCACAGACAACAGTACAGAAACCATTACACTAGTTCGGAATCTAAAGACATGATAATCCAGCATGTAACCTGACACCTCACGCATATACGGATAGGTCCAGCTCCCGGAGGTGACTAGCAGAAAGGTGACTGCATACAGCGCTTAGGGGAACAGGCTGTGTTGACAACAGGTAACTGTGAGCATCGTGCATTCATATACCCTCAAGCGAGCCATTATTTTAAAATTAATAAATGCTGAATTTCAAATTCCATCTATCTGCAAACGCGTTGTCAACAGATGGGTAAATTTTACTCTTATATAGTTTGACATAAGTAAAATATATCAATTAAAACTGTCCGAAGCTCTTCTTTAACAAAACAAGAAATTGAGATACTATGTTTACAGCATAATATCACAGCTGCAGAGTGCAGTGCAGGTTGAGGGATTACCCTCTTAACCCCTTTGATTTTATGGATACAACTTGGTTAAGAAACTAATCTTAGTATTCAGATGTGCTTACCTTTACAGTGAACAACCACTGGTGGTAGGTTTTGTCACTGCCTGTGGGGGAGAAACAAAAATACACAGCATCAAGCAGGTGGAATACTGGATACTAGATGAGGAAATTTCATATCCTATTACAGAGCATAAATAGTATTCCAGTGTGAATACTGACCTGCATATTCACTCATGTTGATCTCCTCCTCAAAGATGTCACTAAAACCTTCGCCTGAGTTCAGCAGGTCTAAGCGGCCGTCAATGAACTGCAGGTCAAACCAAAACACATGAGCCAGCAAAAGGAAGCTTGTGTGTGTGCGTGTGGCCTTTTATAGTAAAATGTATTTATTTTTATTTTATCTTTACACTTTCACAGTGAAGACATTGTGCCAGTACAGGTAAAGGTTAGTAGGCTAATGTTTAGTGTTAGGCACAGAGACACAGTGAGGGGTGTAAGCATATAAATACCTGTTTGAAGAACTGCAGCTGAATGGCATTCTGAAGGAACTGTCTCATGGCACTCGACCGATGGTTTAGAAAGGTTTCTTCATTAAATGTTATACGTTCTTCCTAAAATGCAGAAAAAAATACCAACTGTCACAGTACTTTATAATAGTGTATAACTCAGGGATGTGAAAAAAAAGTTTCACATGATGCCATAATCACATTGTTTTCTTTTTCACATCACTGCATTTATAAAGTAGTGTCTTACATAAAGGAGCAAAGAAACCAAATTTAGTCCATCCTATGGTGACTGACATCTGACATTCCTTTCGAGCTCAGCCCCTCAGGGTTTAAGTGCTTGGAATTAATACTACACGTACTTTGCCTTCACAGTTTTCTGAAAATTAGAGCCCCCTGCTATCCCTTTGTCACCAATAGGCAGGATTAATGTTATCAAAATGAATGTGCTACCCAGGTTTCTCTTTTTATGTCAGGGGAAATAGTATTCCCCTATTTCTGTCCAAACAGTTATTTAAGTCCTCAGACCAGATGGTTTCTTCTTTTCTGTGGAAGGGCTCTCTCTATTGCAAAAGTTCACCTCTAATGGGGATCTTTCCCTACCAAAATTTTTGATGTATTACTGGTCTTCACATACTTAAACGTAAATTCACTTACTGCCTAAATTCACCGGATCTGATTTGGTGTAAACTTGAAATTCAATTCTCCACCTTTTTCACCCACCTCTCTTATCTATTATTAAACTTCTTCTAAATCTTTTGTTACTTTAAATCCCATAGTGCTCTCTACACTTAAGATATGGTTTCAGTTTAGAGTCGCATTTTAAATTCATATCTCCTCTACCAGAATACTGTTGTTAAGAAATCGTCATTTTCCCCTGCCACCACCTATGCCGCTTATTTGATCTGGCATAAAAGAGGCATAAAAACCATGCAAGCCCTTCACAAAGAGAATGTCTTTCTTAGCTTTTCAGAGCTGTCCCCAAAATTTAACCTGCCTCCTTCTCCTCTTTCTTTCTCCCTTTCCTATCCCTCACTCATGTCTGTCCCGTCTGTATCATCTGAAAATAAAATATAATAAATACTAAAAACAAAGGTCGATCAAATGGACCAATACTGCAATGCCACGATGATCCATTTGGCAAAGTAAATCCATTGGGTATCCGTGTTGGTCTTCAGACAACAATTCTGATGGCTAAAGAACCAAATGGGACAGGCAAAAAACAAACAAAAAAAAAAACAATAACGTGGTGCACAGCGTGATGTGAAAATAGCCACATACCTTTGACGTTGCGTGATGAACTCTGTATTCCTCGTCCACACGTAAACGCAAAAAAGGAGTTTAAAGAAATCATCGTTTTTGGTGATTCGAAACGCCGTTTACATGGACGAAACAGCTGCGTTTTCAAAAATACCCGTGTAGGTGCGGACGCAGTGTAAAAGAGTTAGTAGTTTATTTTCTTACTACTTGTAATTTATTGCAGATTACTTGTATTTGCTTAATTGTTTACTAAATGCTTGAGGTGTGAAATAAACTGCAATGGAGCAAAATATGGGTGTGTGTGGTTGGAGGATGTGTTCGTGCGCACAAAGGGGGGGGGTCAAATTTTTCTTGTAAAACAAGGGGGGCCCAGCAAAAAAAGTTTGGGAACCACTGCCCTAGGGTACAGTATCAATCCGTTTTACATTCAGACAGCAACTGTGAAAATACAGTTCAAGTCTTCAGAACTTCAGACTGAAGCCTTGAAATTTTCAGACCTATAATATAGAGACATATTAATGACTCAGGCTGTAATCTCCAAGTTAATTGTTTTGGTCAATGTGGTTTCATATGTCCTCAATGGACAATTAGGTTTATTTTTATAAAGATGAATTCACAACCTGTCCACTGTTTACTACACTTTTTATCCAGTGACAAATAGGATACCTCTGAATTGTAAAAACAGTCAAGAAAGATTAAGTTCTTGTTCTGTCTATTTGTGTGTTTGTCAATGCTCAAATACTCACTTAAACGTGACTCACCACTCTCTACTTTGAGGGACTGTAAAACTACGAGATTAAAATTTGGTATAGGGTCATAAATATGTTCAATTTATTGTACAAAGAATTTAAAACAAACAAACAAACAGTTAATTCAGAACTGGGTTGGGTGGAAACATTTTCGGAGGTGGAGCAAAGGAGAATAGTGATTTTGTTTTCCTTGATAGCTACCTATATCTTTCATTCAGGTAGTTGGAACAACAGGGTGTGGTTGAAAATTAAAAATAGGAAAACAAATGGAAAAATGTCAAAATCTATATTACAGCTACATTAAAGGTGTCTGGATGTCAAAGGGAAACAAAAAAGCAAAACTGAAAGTGAAATAAACAAAATAAAACCAAAGAGATCTTCATTGGCTTTTGCATTTGATCATATAGCACATTATTTTCCATCGTTCAGTAACAACACTTGCCTGTTTACTACCAGTGTTCTAAATATGGGGTGAAATGATATCTGTGGCCACTTTAAGGGAATTGTTTCAAAATGACAGTTTAAAGAAAATCTCTTCATGGTCATTAACAAATTGACAAATTACTGAAATATTCAAGGCCCAACAAATTTCAAATTTCCCACGTGTGGGACTAATAAAGGTTATCTTATCTTATCAAACTGGCAGAGCATTAACAGAGAGAAGAAAGAGGAAGTGGACTCTACTTACAGTGCTAAGTTTGCTACAGCAGATGAGGATTCGACGTTCATAAAGCATACTAGCGTACAGATGAAGCATGTTATTGACATCTACTGCTACAAAGTACTCTGTTAGGTTTCTCTGCAAGGATCAAACAAAATAAGAGAAAAAACAAGAGTTAGTTGTGACAGTAAAGACCAGTGAGAATCACATAATGTCAACCTGTGAAACTCCATATTGTGCATTTCATTTGATAAATGCAGTGCAATATGGCAGTCATGTTAACTGCACAATAATAATAATAATAATAATGGATTGGATTTATATAGCGCTTTTCAAGGCACCCAAAGCGCTTTACAATGCCACTATTCATTCACTCTAGCATTCATACACTGGTGGAGGCAAGCTACGGTTGTAGCCACAGCTGCCCTGGGGCAGACTGACAGAAGCGAGGCTGCCATTTCGCGCCATCGGCCCCTCTGGCCAACACCAGTAGGCGGTAGGGTAAAGTGTCTTGCCCAAGGACACAACGACCAGGACAGAGAGCCCAGGGATCGAACCGGCGACCTTCCGGTTACAGTTACGCTTCCTAACCCCCTGAGCCACGGTCGCCCCAATGTTTTGGCACATTATTTATGCACTCCCTATAGCACTCCCAATCGAAGTTACAGTAGCTGATCTGGACTAGAAACAATCTAATCCAATGATTTTTTTTTGTCATTTTCATTACAAGCGGGACATAGTTGATGACTTTTTAAATTGGCTTGAAGACAGAAGGTACTGCTTCGATGTGACCAAAAACTTGTCTTTCCCAGAAACACAACACTCAGGACCTATGGGAGAAATTTGTAACAGTAATAATGTGTAACAGTTAACTGCCAAGTAATAACTTAATCTAGTGCAAAGTCAGCAGCCTTTAAAAAAACCCCAAAAAAACAAAAAACATTTTGAGTCTATACATTTAGTTTTATGTCCCAGTGATCAATGAAATTCAAATTCTTTCATGTTGGGTAGTTATTTTGACATAAGCTGTCAAGAGGTGAGACTTTGGGTTTACAGGATCAAATATCTGAAGCTATTTTTATTCATTATAATTTTTGATCCTGACAGCCTAGAGCACTTCTATATTTCTGCTCTTACAGAAGAGTACGTCAACTATTTATTTGCAGTAACCCTGTTAATGTACAGCAGATATTACTGTGTCTATGGGTGGAACTTTACCATTCAGTAGGTCTATCTACACACATAGCATGGGATGACCTCAAAAGTCAAAAGATGTTTATGTCCATAAGAAAAAAATACATAAGCACATATTCATGTGCACTCAAAAACCTGTCTAAAGTCTCTCATTTCAAAGTCATAGTTGAGATACGAGTCAGCTGTCAAAACGGTGGGCTTCTGTTTGACAAAATGTAAAGCAGCTTTGAGATTTGACTTTAATGTTTTCAGCATAAAGGAAAAGTAAACACTCACATTCTCAGGTATGCTGGGAAGTTCCTTTGTGTCAGGCACAATGAAATAGGAATGCTAGAGAGAGACAGACAACAAGTGTCTGAGTGCTTCACAGTGTGAATAAAGAATGTAGAAAATCTAAGCAGCATTCCCTGCATGATGATTCATAATAACACCTAGTGTAGTAATCCAGGAGGGAGTCACACTTTAAAGCTAAAAATTAAACTTGTTTCAGGATTTTGTATGGGTGATTCCATTACATTACTTCCTCTGTATGAAGGAAAGGTAATATGTGTTTTCCAGTGTAATTACGAGTTTTGTTGGATGTGATGTGTTGAGTCAGACTCACCACACCAAGGTGAATGGGGACACAAGGTTCAGGGATGGGCAGCGTATACAGTAACAACAGGAGCTCTTGCCACTGGCTTTCCTAAAAAAATAAATAAATGAAAATAATTAATAAAGAAATTAATCAGAACACGCTAAATGCATGGATAGCATGTCCTCATGCGAATAAATACAAATAGCACAGCCTGAACCGATAACCTGTTATGGTGTAGCTAGAGTCTCAGAAAAAGTCCCAAAACTGCAGCTACATTTGAAAGCCCCAGCAAGCCAGGGCCAATAAACAATGATCGTATCTGATGCTAAAAGTAAAATGGACAGAAGATCTGACATGCATGTATTGGCTAATGAAGAGACTGGCCAATGAATTCCTAACTGAGGTGAAGAAATCCAATTTCAAGATGAATCGTGTGTCATTTCTCACCTGTCCTTTGACAGTGTAATCTGCAAGGATATTAAGCAGCTTGTAGAAGACTTCGAACCAGGGAAGGTAGCTACAAAGTCACAAAACCAGTTTTTAATTAGCACAATTCAAGCAAGATGGAAATCATCTATTTTTAAAAAAGGTAGAGTGGAGTTCATTCAGCAATGGCAGAAATAAAGTGAAACACAGGAAACCACAAAAATGTAGACTGACCAAAAATAAAACAAAAGAAAAACAATAATAATGACTAAGTGCCAAATATTCCAAACAATGTGGTAATTCATGTACTCAACCAAAAAAAAAAAAAAAAAAAAAAAGTATAAGGTGCTTTTGAAAAAAAAATTAACAATGGTGATAATGTTACAACAAAAGCGTTTTATTCAAAGGTTTTCATAGTTATATAGAGCCTGCAATGGTTTTAAAGCATTGAGACCATGTAATCAAACAATAATGAATATGAGAAGAGACCGAGTAATATATGCTACCAGTCAAACATTTCGACACACTTTTTCATTTAATGGTTTTTCTTTATTTTCAGGACTCTTTACATTGTAGATTCTCACTGAAGGCATCAACACTATGAATTAAACACATGGAATTATGTAATAAACAAAGTGTGAAATAACTCAAAACATATTTTAGACTCTTCAAAATAGCCACCCTTTGCTTGCTGGGCCTTTTCCCTTCACTCTGCAGTCCATCCTAAACCATCTTGATTGGGTTTAGTCATCTGGCACAGCACTCCATCACTCTTCTTCTTGGTCAAATAGCCCTTATAAGTCTGGAGGTGTGTTTGGGGTCATTGCCCTGTTGAAAAGTAAATGGTGGTCCAACTAAACGCAAAACCGGATGGGATGGCATGTTGCTGCAGGATCCTGTGGTAGCCATGCTTGTTCAGTGTGCCTTCAGTTTTGTACATAAAAATTAAATCCCCAACAGTGTCACCAGCAGAGCATGCCCCACACCATCACACCTCCTCCTCCATGCTTCATGGTGGGAACCATGCATATAGAGACTATTTGCTCACCTTTTCTTACACAAAGTGTGGAACCAAAGATCTCAAATTTGGCCCAAACAAATCTCTTCTACTTGTTGCTTTTCTTAGTAGTGGTTTCTTAGCAGCTATTTGACCATAAAGGCCTGATTCCCCAGTCTCCTCTGAACAGTTGATGTAGAGATGTGTCTGCTACTGGAACTCTGTGTGGCATTTATATGGGCTCTAATCTGAGATGCTTTTAACTTGCAATTTCTGAGGCTGGTGACTCCACTGAATTTATCATCATCAGCAGAAGAGGTGACTCTTGGTCTTCCTTTCCTGGGGGAGTGCTCATGTGAGCCAGTTTTTTGTTTTTTTTTTCAAATCACTCGATGGTTTTCGTGACTGCACTTGGGGGCATATTCAAAGTTTTAGCAATTTTCCGTATTGAATGACCTTCAGTTCTTAAAGTAGTGATGGAGTGTCATTTCTCTTTACTTAGCTGTTTGGTTCTTGCTATAATATGATTTCCAACAGTTGTCAAATAGGGCTGTCAGCTGTTAGCAACCTGACTTCTGCACAACACAACTAATGGTCGCAACCCTATTAAGAAAGCTAGTAATTCCACAAATAAACTCTGACAAGACACACCTGTCATTATGAAGCTCACTGAGAGAAGGCCAACGGTTTGCAGCGCCATCAACAAAACAAAGGGTGGCTACTTTGAGCAATCTAAAAGAAAATACATATTTAGTTATTTATCAATTTTTTCTTTGCTGTATAATTTCATACAACTTGCTTCATATATTTGATGTCTTCAGTATGTATCTACAATGTAGAAAGTAGTAAAAAAAATAAAGAAAAACCATTAAATGAGAAGGTGTGTCCAAACTTTTGACTGGTAGTGTACATACATGTTAGCTGTATTAGCTAAATTTAATTAATTTAAATTTTATTTTTATAGCAACAAATCACAACAACAGTTCCTCAATATGCTTTATATTCTAAGCTAAAGACCTTACAATAATACAGAGAAAACCTCAACAATCAGATCATCCCCTATGAGCAAGCACTTAGAGACAATGGAAAGTTAAAATTGTTTTAATACACGTGAAGACAACATGGATTCAACCATGTGGTAACATTCAAGAGAACATTTGTATCTTTGGCATCAGCTTCAATTTCATTATTACAGTTTCATCGTCATACATTTGAATGTTAGTTCCAGTAAAATGGTCAAATGGACAGTTCTCTGTAGATCAGGGGTTCATTAACCTCGTACTCAGGCTCAGCAGTTCAAGCTTTCTCTCACACTCAAAAAAAGCTCTTGTTCAGGAGAGAGAGCTCAACCACTACTCCCAGCCAACTAATGTGACATTAATTGCCTGGTAGTGGCGATTGGGCCCATGCTAGGTAGGCTCAGATGGACATATCATAACGGATTTAGCATGTACTTACTGTAAGTACATGCTTATGTTTCTTTTCAGTGATTGTTATAACTAGCTAGTATTTGAGTAAAGTGTTATCTGTAACTGGCAACAGCTGTGATTGCCCAGCTTATCATAGACATAGCAAAGTCTTTGATCAAGTTGCAGAAATTAGGTAGCTAAAGCATTAGCTAAAAACAAAACAAAAAAAAACCCCACCACCACCACCAACAACAACAACAACAACAACAACAACAACAACAACAACACACATTTATAGCAATCACTGCAGGATTTGATATCTGAAACTGAAGGATCTGAAGGATAGGATAATCTGAATTAGTTTTGAACCTACATACCTCTGGCTCATTATACAGCTGGAAAAAAAGAAGAAGCTGAAAACAAGGTTAATGGCAATATAAAAAACTACTGCAATTCCCTGTACACAGGATTAGGCACTTCCACACCCTTTAATTTGCAAATGGTTCAAAATACAGCTGCTTTAATTTTAACTGATTCAAAGGAAAGACAGTATATTACTCCTGTTTTAGCTCAGCTGCACTGGCTACCTATGAAGGTTTAAATACATGAAAAAAGTTTAGTACTTGTTTTTTAACGTCTTCATAGATTAGTGCCACAATATATTACAGAACTTTTAATTCTGTCTTTTGCCTCCAGGTCACTGAGATCAACATCCTGTTAGTTTTCTGTCAGTGCCTCACCCAAAAACTAAAGGCAACTAGGGCTTTGCAGTTACAGCTGCTAGACTCTGGAATAGTCGGACACCCCATACTGGAAAAAACGAACACTTTTAAATCAGCTATAGACGTACCCATTTTCAGCTGCTTTTAGTCAAGTCTGAGGTCCATTTGACTTGACGTTTCACTCCTGTACTGGCTGCTCTTCCTTGGCTCGCTGTTAAATCTAAACAATATTTTTTTTTAGATTTAACAGACAATCCCAACTGCTTGCCCTAAATGGCCCTCTCCGTTTCTGTCAGGGATTTCTTCCTGTTAAAAGGGATTCTTCCTTCTTACTGTCACCAAGTGCTTGCTCATGAGGTGTCATCTGATTTTTTTCATTATGATTATAGGGTCTTTACCTTAGAATATAAAGGTCCCTGATGTGACGGCTGTTGGTTTTTCACTATATAAATTAAACTGATTTGAATTGAATTGAACTTACTAGGATGACTAATTTTTAAAGACTGCAAATAAAGTATAATCACAGAAAATTTAAAAGCTAAAGAAGATGCACGGGCGAGATTCTCAGTCGGATGTCAATTTGTTATCACTAGTGGAGATAACAAAATATGTACAGTATCTTACTGCCAAATTTAACATCTCATCAAAAGTCAGGCTTATTTGTTTTTCTAGACCTTCTTTTATTTGGCAATAAAACAGTTTTATATCAGCTTTTCACAAAAAATCCACAATACAATGAACGCACACCCCACACTCACCTATACACATACTTACCTAAGAATACAGTAGCAAGTGTGTGCACCTGACGAGAGGCGGCAAAAGCCAAACCTCTGTTTGCTCTCAATGTCAGTCAACACAAACGTAAAGTTCTGGCCAACTTGGTTGACAGAAAGACTGTTGGTTGAGAGAGGAGGAGAAGACAAGACTAAGTCCTTTCCATAAGATACAGATACACAAATAAACAGAATATATCGACAAACCGACTTCATATAGAATAAAACGGACATCTGTTAATGGTGCCAAATAAAACTTAATAAAAGCAGAACAATCAATGAATGAATGCTGTTTTATTTGAGCTTAGTTTAGTGGACAGTCTTTAGGCCAGCTCCTGAACTCCCATCAGGTCTGAATAGTTTTAAAAAGATATTGGCGGCAACTGGTGCTATTCCTCAGCCTCCTAGAGATACACCTATGGAATAAAATTTCGAAATCCTACTTCGCCTTGTTCTCAAGTTATCGCATTCACAAGATTTTCAGAAACCTTGACCACTAAGCTTGACGTCAAGGTCACTGAGAAACTCATCTAAGATTCTTAGTAGATGAACATATGGTATCAATTTCAAAATCCTAGGTGACTTTCATCTTGATGTTTCAAGTGAGACATTTTGAGACTTTTATGTCCAAGTCAAGATATGACATCCATGTTTTACTGAAAAAGGCAATCAAGCATTGTCACCTATTTAAATCAAACAGGCAAAAATGGACTGTTTTAGCATTTATACTACAGCACCTAACAAAAGCATTGTATTATTTTAATTTCCCCAAACCAACATCTCAAAATGACCCATCTTTAGCTTATAACAACAACATCTAACATTACTTTTTTCCCCTCTTGTTCTTAGTGTGGCTAAATACTGTATATAATTTTGCTAATAGCCCAAACGAGCCAAAATACTATAGCATTTAATAGTGTCATTAACATAAATAATAGTGTACCAGCACCAAAAACTTCATTGAATACCCACAGCAATGATTTTAATTCAATTCTCTTAGATTTAATCAACCCTATGTAGGTGCAGATGTGTATGTGTGTATACCTGTCCATGCTGAAAGGGAAGCAGAACTTGGACACAGTTTTAAGAGTTTCCTGTGGTACAAAGAAAGGGATTATAAAGTACATTAATCCATGAACAAATTTAGAGGGGCTCAAATGGAACATGTAATGTGAAGCTATCCATAGAGAACAGTGTGCATAGAGGCATTTACATTATTGACACTACATAATAATTAAAATTACATAAAAAATAATGCTTGTCAAAGAGAAAAAGTGAAAGCATGGTATGTACAACTGTGGAAAAGTACAATACTATAAAAAAGAAAAAGACCTGATCTCTGTAGTCGTCTGGAAACTGCCGACGAACCTCTGGCCCTGTTAGAAACATACAGACAGAAAATGACGTCACTGAAATCACCAGCTTCCTTTCAACAAGACAACCCTAAATACTATGACCCAATCCATGAGGCTTAGGGGTTTCCCCACTTTCAGTATATGTATGAGGAGTCGCTGGCAGACACATTCAGTCTTGTACGCACATGTTCTCTTAGTTAATTTCTGCACCCTTAACTCACAGTGCTGTGACATTAAACCTTAAGAGGAAAAAAAAAAAAAACTATGAAAAAACTTCTTTCATCATCTTTTTTTATGTTTAGACAAAATATGCAAATTAATTATCTGAGAGTTATCACTCATCCCTTTTGTAAAAGAGAAACCTGACTGACTTTGAATTTAAACAGTTATTCTCATAAGAAAAAAAAAAAAGCAGAAAAACTACAAATAAAAAATAAAAAAATTGAACAAATCCAAGTGACCCAAAAATTTGCAGTTCACATGCATGAACTTGAGTGACATCCCATTCTTAATGGGTTTACTATGATAACAGCTTCAGCTCTTTTGGCAAAGCTTTACACGATTTTTAGGTTAGGTGTTTATGGGAATTTTTGACCAATCTTCCAGAAGGGCATTTGTGAGGTCAAACACTGATGTTGGACAAGAAGGCCTGGCTCACAGTCTGCCCTCTAATTCATCCCAAAGGTGTTCTGTCGAGTTGAGGTCAGGACTCTGTGAAGACCAGTCAAGGTCTTACCAAATTCCCCCCATCCATGTCTTACTATTGCTTTGTGCATTGGTGCACAGTCATGTTGGAAAAGGAATTTTTTATTTTGTTGCTACACCAAAATCATGTCTGCACTCATCAGCAGATTTGATCATCACTGTATGTTCTGCCCAGGAGGTGAGTTTGAGCTTTACTGCAACATGTTGAGTGTTGCACTGTTCCCTCATATGACAAGGGAGAAACAATGTAAGCAAAGGTATAAATCCCCCTTACAAATGACAATTCTAATATAAGCATTCTGCTTAAAACAGTAAATAAAAAACAAATGGATATTGCATCTTGAAGACTGCAGTTTCATCATTTCCTCTGCAAACAGGATAAAATTCTTAGAAATACAGCCAACAACCTCTCCTCGGTATCCAGGAAATTAGTCACTTGCTGCAGATAAAAAAAGCTTTAGAGACAGAGTTGAGATATATCACCATAACTCAGCTGGTGCCATCATCTTAACCTCTTGAAATGTTCCTACTAACATAACTTTTTTCTTGCTAGCCAAAAATTATGAAATAATCACAAAATAAAATTAAAGTTTACAATAGGGCTGAGCCATATCATACCGTTCACAGTAATACTGGTATAATGTTGGGCAACGATAAGAAAATGAAATATCGTGATAGAATATGGGTAAAACGTGCATGCACAGTGTCTTTGTTTTCATACACACATGGCGGAAAAAGCATGGCAGCGACGGAGAATGAGAAGGGCGAAAGTGGATCGTTGAATGAAACAGATGAACCAGAATTGGTTTGTAAAAATGCTGCAACTTCAGTGTGGAACTGGTTTTGCTTTCGTCCGTCAGATACACAACAAAGCACTATTTTTGGTAGAGCATGCTAGCAGGCCGTCTTTATTACCGTGTTTTTTGGAAAATACGGCACAATTAAAATTAATGCCCCTTATAATCCCGTGTGCCTTATGTATGAATTCTGGTTGTGTTTACTGACCTCTAAATGATTTTATGTGGTACACATCTGTCAAAATCTGTCAAATGTTTCAGCACGACTTTGCTAAGCTACGAACCCGCACCGCTTGATGAATTGTCGGAGCATTACGGCTATCGTAGGCAGGAGCCTCGCGGAGTGATACGTACTGTGCTTCAACATAATATTACCGTATTGTGTGTGTATAACCTCTTTTTAAGTTTTGTGGATATTATACATGGTTATGCTGAGGATATGTCGGCCAATTTCCACTGGAAATGCCTTTTGGTTAAACTGTCAGCGAGGAATTTGGATTTGCACTGTTAAATTTTTATATTACTTTAATGCACATAAAAAACAGCTGCTTGTTTAAGTGAAAATACATTGATGGGGTTTTCTTTGCACTATAAAGTTGTGGAGTTGTAAAGTATTTTGTCTAGTGTCAATTATATTGTCAGTTATATCGTTATCGCAAATTTTCAAATGTATATCGCGATAAATATTTTTGGTCATATCACCCTGCTCTAGTTTACAAAACAGTACACTGGCGCAGGACCCTTTATGTACTAATCCTTGACTTGTTGCCAAGATTTCATAATTACTATAACCAACACCCCAAGGTTTGGGCCATTCCACTCCATGTGTGGGCACACTTCATCAACAGATAGGACAGAAGAAAAAAAGAGCAATTTCACATTTCCACATTACCAGAAATCTATTAAAAGTAGTGTAAGGGAAGTGGTAGTGACAGAGATATTGACATGATAAAGCAGTGTAGTTTGTTGTCTGCTGCAAAACGTGTAAAAAGTGTACCAGAGAACTATCCACAGTAATATGCAACAAATGGTGTGGCCCTTCTCTCAACGTTTTGGAATAAGTATGAGATTGCACAAAGAGACAGGAGGCCTAAATAGCTAGCTTTATTCCACCTTCTCTTTTGGGAAAGGGTAGGCTCGACTTTATTTTTCCTGCGGAGGCTGAACATCCTCTGAAAGCTGCTACAGATGTTGTATCAGTCGGTGGTTGCTAATGCAATTCCCTATGCTGTGGTCTGCTGGGAGAGCTGTACCAAGAAGAAGAACAATCACTGGCTGAATAAAATAATCAAGAAGGCAGGCTTGTTTGTTCGACCCTGTGGAGGCAGTGTTAGAACAGAGAATGCTGTGTAGTTTAAAGTCAGTTGTGTACAGAGAAACTGAGGAGGTCTTTGGTTCCCCAGGGGATCAGACTGCATAAAACATTGGAGGGGAAAGTGCATTAGGTTGGGTAAAAAAAAAGTCCCAAGAAAAATACTCGATTCCAACTGAGTTTTTTTTTCTAGTGTTAGAGAATGGAAGGTAGATAACCAGCAGTGAAAATTGTATTATGAGCAGATGTGGATGTGGATACTAAGGATGTGTGCAAAGAGTCAACTAGACTACTAACTGTTAATAATGTGACTAGGCAGTACCAGATGTGATACTCATTTAATCTAATTGTTCACATTTTAATTGACGCCCAAACCCGGCAAACTGTTATGTTCTAAGTGTTATACAGCTGTCTTCCACCAGATATACCATAATTCAGTGAATAAAACAAACAACAAAACAATATCAATACAAACAATATCATCCACCAGGACGACTCAAGAAGAATGTGATTACTGGTTTCAAATGCCTTTATTTGGACAACTTTTGGAATTGTCCACTAAATGGTTCTCAAATGTAACAAGATATCTGAGTGTTTCTTAGTCTTAGACTAGTCATCTAGTCAAACTTTATTTCCTTGCTAAGTCAGCTAAGAAATTAGTTGGTTGGAACATTTCTAGTGGATACTATGATGACAAGAACTATAAAGATATGATAAAGATGATAAATCGATTTATTTTCCATGTTACTTAAGTACGTCTGGTTTGGTCAGGGTATTTTTATAACTATAACCAGAGAACATTTTGTGATTAATGCCTTCGAAAATTCTGGTAATTCTAAGGGGTTCTATGTATTGAAACATATTGGATTTTACATTCATTATTACTTGTTTATGTATACCTAGTTCCATGATCAATATGTAAAAGAAAATGTAATTTTTAAGGACTTACCAGAACTGTGGATGCCTGGGTTGGCCACCTCCATATACACCTCAAAGGTAGACTCAGGGTTCTCCCTGCAACAAATAATAAAAAAAATAGCTTTATGGGCGCCAGTTTAGTTCAGTTAGATGAGCAGGCGACCATATGCAGCATGGCTGAGAGCGGCTGGCCCCAGGTTTGAGTCTGACCCACGGCCCTTTGCCACATGTCTCCCCTCTCTCTTTCCCGTCAGTTCTCACTGCATCCATCTAATAAACCCAAAAACAAAGGCCAAAAAATATATTTGTAAAAAAGCTTTATGTTTACTTATGTTGCAGACAAAAATGAAAGAAAATATAACACAAGAAACATATAACCAAGAATTAGACATCCATCAAAAAGATGAAGGAAGAAAACTGGTAAAGGACACTGCAAAGTGGCCTACACGAAAATTGAAGGAGCTGCAGGAATTTCTGGTAAGTACTGTACTATTAATGTTTCTCATGGTGTCTGCGCACATATGTCGAGATCTGTCCACCATATTGGGTGTGATACCACAGGGAGAAATATTCCCAGACTGACTGGCAGTGGTTCCTGGAGGTTACTGGCTTTGGGAGAAAATGGTTGCAAAGAAGGTGCTCCACCAAAAACAGCCTAATGATTGCTTTGGTTAAGTGACTGTTAAGCTACAGCCAGGAGGTAGAGCAGGTCTCGCAGCATATAGGGAGTGCAGAATTATTAGGCAAGTTGTATTTTTGAGGAATAATTTTATTATTGAACAACAACCATGTTCTCAATTAACCCAAAAAACTCATTAATATCAAAGCTGAATGTTTTTGGAAGTAGTTTTTAGTTTGTTTTTAGTTTTAGCTATTTTAGGGGGATATCTGTGTGTGCAGGTGACTATTACTGTGCATAATTATTAGGCAACTTAACAAAAAACAAATATATACCCATTTCAATTATTTATTTTTACCAGTGAAACCAATATAACATCTCCACATTCACAAATATACATTTCTGACATTCAAAAACAAAACAAAAACAAATCAGCGACCAATATAGCCACCTTTCTTTGCAAGGACACTCAAAAGCCTGCCATCCATGGATTCTGTCAGTGTTTTGATCTGTTCACCATCAACATTGCGTGCAGCAGCAACCACAGCCTCCCAGACACTGTTCAGAGAGGTGTACTGTTTTCCCTCCTTGTAAATCTCACATTTGATGATGGACCACAGGTTCTCAATGGGGTTCAGATCAGGTGAACAAGGAGGCCATGTCATTAGTTTTTCTTCTTTTATACCCTTTCTTGCCAGCCACGCTGTGGAGTACTTGGACGCGTGTGATGGAGCATTGTCCTGCATGAAAATCATGTTTTTCTTGAAGGATGCAGACTTCTTCCTGTACCACTGCTTGAAGAAGGTGTCTTCCAGAAACTGGCAGTAGGACTGGGAGTTGAGCTTGACTCCATCCTCAACCCGAAAAGGCCCCACAAGCTCATCTTTGATGATACCAGCCCAAACCAGTACTCCACCTCCACCTTGCTGGCGTCTGAGTCGGACTGGAGCTCTCTGCCCTTTACCAATCCAGCCACGGGCCCATCCATCTGGCCCATCAAGACTCACTCTCATTTCATCAGTCCATAAAACCTTAGAAAAACCAGTCTTGAGATATTTCTTGGCCCAGTCTTGACGTTTCAGCTTGTGTGTCTTGTTCAGTGGTGGTCGTCTTTCAGCCTTTCTTACCTTGGCCATGTCTCTGAGTATTGCACACCTTGTGCTTTTGGGCACTCCAGTGATGTTGCAGCTCTGAAATATGGCCAAACTGGTGGCAAGTGGCATCTTGGCAGCTGCACGCTTGACTTTTCTCAGTTCATGGGCAGTTATTTTGCCCTTGGTTTTTCCACACGCTTCTTGCGACCCTGTTGACTATTTTGAATGAAACGCTTGATTGTTCGATGATCACGCTTCAGAAGCTTTGCAATTTTGAGACTGCTGCATCCCTCTGCAAGATATCTCACTATTTTTGACTTTTCTGAGCCTGTCAAGTCCTTCTTTTGACCCATTTTGCCAAAGGAAAGGACGTTGCCTAATAATTATGCACACCTGATATAGGGTGTTGATGTCATTAGACCACACCCCTTCTCATTACAGAGATGCACATCACCTAATATGCTTAATTGGTAGTAGGCTTTCGAGCCTATACAGCTTGGAGTAAGACAACATGCATGAAGAGGATGATGTGGACAAAATACTCATTTGCCTAATAATTCTGCACTCCCTGTATATACCTTTTTACAAGAAACTCACCTAGAAGACAGTGAATATCTTAGGCTAAAAACCTAGTTGGGTGGGTCAAGTATGTTTTTCTTCTTTCACAACAAGTAGTAGCATAGGTGTAGCTGTATTAATACATAAATGGTAAAGGTTGGTAAAGTGAGCTAGAGATAAATATGTGACAGGTTTTGATTTTTCAGGGAGTCTTACATGGTGAGGAAATTACCATTATGAACATTTACTGTTCACTAAATTATTCTTCAGAGTTCATACTCAAAACATTTCCAAAATTTGTAGAACTATCCTCAACAAAGGTCTTGATAGGAAGAGATTTCAATCGTTTATTTAATCCTTTAGTCGACAAACATCCGGTGTAAAACAGACTGTGGGCAGGCCCAGGGGTTTGGCGCATTTGAGAATTATGTCTAAGATCTACAGTTCCTCATCATCCATATCGCCAGACACGGCCAACAAGGCAAAGCAGAGGAAATCTTTCTGTCAGATGACATCATTTATCCAATGAAATAGAGTTGAAATTAGTTGTAGACCATGCATTATGTCTTGTTTTTTTGTCTTTTTATTTTACACATTGCCCCAAAGTTCAGGGATTGCAAGGGGTGGGTTTAAAAAATTGATTTTCCTATTCAAATCAGTTTTAGTTTGAATAATGCAATATCGATTCATTAAATCCTGAATTGATTTTTAAATATATTTATTTAGCCAGAAACACCAGAATCTCAGCTTAAAGCTCACAAAACTATTTCAAAAAACCACCAAAGAGTTATAACACCAAATGATTAAAGAGCAGGTAAACACATTCCACAGAAAGATGTAAATGCAAAGCGCAACCCGGCGGCACGAACACAGACAACTCATCGGGTGCTAAAAGTCGACATTTCACAGATTCTGAAGCTGCAGGTTTGTCACCCTCCGACCAAAATTCACTGAAAAAGCAGCAAATGAAGATCAAACTACGCTTCGCATTTGAAAAATATTGTCATAAATTCCCACAGGGTACTTCCAGTTTACCACCAAAAATTTGTGTTTCTGCATTATTCACTTGCTTACTAGGCACCAGTCTACCGTTGTGTGTGGTGCTGTCGACTTTTTTTTTTTTTTTTTTAAATGAACTCCGACCAGAAAGCTTAATTTCTGCTGTTCAATACCAAATAAGTGTAAACTTTTACAAAATATGCCAAATTGCAAAACGCTGAGCTATGTCTTTAATAAAACCTCTGTAACTTAGCTCTGCTTCACTTCAGCAGCATCAGGTAATGTTTATCTGTTGATTCATGGATTTCTTCTGTTTTTGACATTCTGCAGAATATTTTTAAGCTGGTTATCTGCTATAAAAAGTAAGGCCAGGAAAATCTCCTTTATGTTTTTCTGTGTTTTATCCTCAGCTACTTTGACACAAAGGCATCTGTTATGATGCTTACACCTCTGATACAGTCTCACAACTGTCAGCTTTGGTTTTATACATAGACATAAAAAATTTAAAGTATATGGATATATACTGATAAATGATCATAATTATAATATGTCTGACTGAGTTAAATTGAATCGAATTGAAATCTTGAAATTGAATTAGTTATAGTAATGAGTGATGATATCCAGCCCAAACTGTAAGGATTGTTCCTAAAAAGCAGGCAAAGTAGGGCCTCCACATAACCCTACTAACATGGTGTCTCAACACAGTGCGGGACTTTTCTTACTAAATCTGTCCTTATAGTGATATAAATCTCATAAATACACCATATCTGTATACCAAAGCCAATCTATAGATCAGTTGTCCTTTTCTATCATGCCACGAGAGTAGCCTGCAGTCATCGTCTCTGCTGCACTTCTCAGTCCTGAAAAGTAGCATCCGGTTTTGGGGGGAAAAAAACATCTAATGCAGTTACCATGCTTAAAGTGGCTACATATCCACTCACTGTCAGTCACCGCTAACCGCGCGGAAAGCTTTGAGTTACTAGTACACCTCAGTGTCATTAAAAATATATAAATAAAAGGTTCTTATTTTTTTTTTCTTTTTTTTTTCAGGTCCCTTCAGTGTTTTTAGCCTGTGTCACAACAAGCCAGGGCCTCATACTCTACGATATCTTCTCCATGACTCTGTGGAACACTGCTAACACAACAGTTTTAACTAACGCACCGAGAAATATACTTACTTGATTCGAGACCCCATCCTCTATTTAGTCTCCCCGCCGTGGCTGGCAGCAGACGCGTCACTCCGTATTTTTCTCAAGCTAACCTGCCCGTCACACACAACAGTACACCGCCATGGTGAATCGCCATGCGTAAGTCACGCTCCACTTTGTGCCGCTCCTGGGATTTGTAGTCTTCTAAATAGAAGACGTGAATGTCAATAACATACAGCTACCTAGTATTAGAAACTACAGCTTCCACAATACGTACAAGACGATTGGGTCGCGTGGTGCTGTAGCCGATAAAGTTTCTGTTACTCAGCATTTACTGTAACGGTAGCTCCAGTGCAGTTTATTACATCATTTTGAGGTTTTATAGCTAATAATTAAAAACAGTTTTGGAGATAATTTATAGTTTAATATAAAGTAGTAATATTTCTACCAATATTAATTTTGAAATAATCTAAAATATAAATTATATTATTTATGTCACAAACATTTTGTTTTTAAATGTAATGTAATGTAAAAGGAAAATAAATGAAAATGACAGCTACGTGGATTAACAAGAGGAAAAATTGGGGCGGATGCTCCAAAAAACAGCAGATTTGTGTGTCCTGTGTTTTTTCTTACAGTGAAGCTGTTTTTTCCAAAACACTAGAGCAAAATAGAAAAATGATAAAACAAAAATTCCCACAAAGTTTACATCTTTGTTCTACTATTCTCTAAACTGTTCAAAAATATTTAAATGAACCTTCTGAAAACACATCAGACCTCAATAGGAAAAAAAAATTACACTGGATGTTTATGCTGATGTGGACTGGATAATCTGTTAGGATGCCACATTGTTTGATGGAAATGAAAATTATCAACCTACACAGGGCTAAATTCAAAGACAGTCCAAAAATCAAAGAGGAAAAAAATGATGCAACAGACTAATCTGTTTTTGCTGAAATTTCATTGCTGCAATTCAAAGTGGTATTCAGCAGTTTATATAGCCTCTACATGCTTGTATGCATGACTGACAACATCGGGGCATCCTCCTACTATGATAACAGACAGTATCATGGGGGATGTCCTCCCAGATCTGGACCAGGCCATCACTGCCCCACAAACTGAACCAAAATATAATGTCCAAGAGGCTTTCTATTAGAAATAGCTCAGGCGAGTTTGGGGGCAGGAGGAACCTAGTGCACAAGCTTTGGCTGTGACAATGGCTCCAAGGATTTCATCCCAATGTTGAATGGCAGTCAGGGTGCCGTAGCCTAACCTGTAGAGGTCTGTGCGTCCCTCCATGGATATGCCTCACCAGACTATCACTGACACACCACCAAACACCAAAACTTTTACAGGCAGCATGACATTCTCCACAGCTTCTCCAGACCCTTTCACTTCTGTCACATGTGCTCTTGGTGAATCTGCTCTCATCTGTGAAAAGCAAAGGGTGCCAGTGCTTGGCCTGCCAATTCTGATATTCTATGGGAAGTTGGCTCCATGGAGCTGGACAATAAGCACAGAGCCTACTAGATGGCATCGGGCACTCGTGCGTACACACACACACACACACACACACACACACACACACACACACACACACACATATATATATACTTTAAATATATATTTATTTTCTCAGTTTACAGCACTTTTGTTATAAATGTTGGTCAGGTTGTTTTAGTTTAATTATGTTTTGGGTGTGGTTCACACTGCAGAGACAAAAAAGGTGAAGCTTGAACTAGTCTGGCTCTGTCCCTATTCTTAGTTCTGTATCAGCCTGCAAGCCTGGACCATAAGATTTGCAACAACACCTCCTTGAATTCTTTTGTTAAAACCCTGTAATTAAAGGCTGCACTTCAATCGCATATTGACGTTTGATTGATGCCGTATCCACTGTGGTGGTGTACAGAGGCAAAAAATATATAAAATCCCAACAAACAAACAAAAAACAACACTGACCCAAATAACCATGGCAAAATACTATTGCCAAAGCATCAAAAATACATATACAAATAATTAACACAACATAACTTAAAACAGCACAAGGATAAATGTATATTAATTCAGTTTAATTAAATATGCTTGATAAATAAACAATTGTAAAATGTATGCACCTGTGTGTGTTCAGGTCTCTCATTGTTCTTTGTTCTTTTTTTTTTACATTTTGATACAAAAGTTTGCTTTAGTAATTTTGTATTACAGATCCGAACAGATTAAATTATGTTCTTCCTTGCTTTGTTGTTTTGTAGTTGTTTTTTTCCCCCGAATGATTAACGTTTAATAGAAATTTCATCTCCGTTTCAACCTCATCTGTCACCACGTTTTTTTCTTTCGTTTCAACATGTTAATTTATACAAATCTATTTTCAGACCAGACTCTTAAAAAAAAGCCCCATCCCGTATGCAGGAGACTTAGAAGCAGGGCGCGGAGACTACTGACCCACTTTGCTCAAACACTTCTCACAATTTCGCGTCCACTTTAGCAACCAGAGACTGAAAACTTTGTCGTATCTTTCTGTTGTTCAGTTATCAGCGAGCTCTATTGAACAAGCTGCTGGACAGCGAGCGGGGGGCGGGGGGCGATTGAGAGACACTCGGGGGCGGGAGAGAGAGACTCGGGGGCGGGGGTCTGACTCACATTGTTGGTGTGAGGAGTTGCACAACAACACGAACTAACAGAAGTTGTAAAATGTGGAAGGCCTTCACGCCGCAGGACATTACTGACTCCTCTCCAGGTAAGACACAGTCAGTAGTAAGGAGACGGTGGCAGCTCGCAGAATTGTGCAGCAGCTCGCTTCAGTAAGTTCGTGTGTGGCTGAATCATAACACGCGTCATGGAACAGGATACAGCCTCATTTTGGAGAGCTGCACAACCTTCGTAGCAGTTAACTAGTTAGCAGCAACGTTAGCGTGCTGCTTACTCGGACAGAAACGAGACCTTATAGATTCCTGGTCTATAGTTTAAACATAATATTATATATTTTTTTCTATTTTAAACAATCGTGCTGCACCAGGCCCGGAAAAGAGCACGCAGCAGAACACTTGGACTGAAATTCACATCCATTTAATTTCCATGTTTCCATTGCCACTTTAAAGTAATTATCGGCGACCTGTCACTCAAGCTAAATGAAGTAATGGTGAGTGTTATTGGGGTAATTCTCGTCTCTGCAGGCTCTTCTTTCACAACAGGAAACCACTGCAAAACTCGTAACTTCTGCAGCTCCTGGTTTATCTTCCTGTGAATATAATTTTTGTACTTTTGACTTAGACCAATTTGGATTATACATTAAGTTAGTCAATTACAACGTGAGGTAATTGGGTAGAACAGAGATGCGGCATTGGGTGTATTATGTGATAGCATCTCTGGCATTAGTTTAAAAATACACACAAAAAAACCCCAAACAAAACAAAACACATCCATATAACAATGACAATATTTATGTATCAAACATGAGTAACAAGCTGTACCCCACCCCTCCTGTCTGGGTGTGTGGTTTCTGTGGAGAAGTGAACATTATATGTAGAAACAGTATAAGAAAACCATTGTACTTGTTTAAATTTCTTGAAGAGGTTTCAACTCTCATCCAAGAGCTTTTGCAGTTCTAAAACCAAATGTTGGGGAGTACCAGGTATTGGGGTTTGTCCTTTAAGATGTTTGTTGACCCACTCCTTATCATATGCTCATCACATGAGCCAAGGTGTGGGAAAAAAAGGTATGGGTCATTACAACTAGAAGTTTTAGGTGAAACCACTGTGAGATGTTGCCTCACTCTATCATGTGACCTGTTGAAATTACCCAATTAAGTTTTTGTTCTTTTACCAACAGTAGCCAAAAGCCATTGGGCAATAGTTTCATAGAGCACTCGACATCTTTGAATATGAAAGGAAAGGTTGAGTAGTAAGACTGTCTACACAGGAAGCGACTTAATAGTCATGTGGCATCCAGAGATTGCCAATGACATTGAGCAACTTCAATCAACAACGATTTTCTGCTGGCATATGAGGGCGTGGCAGCTATGTCAGATTGTTGTTCTTTTGGCTGCTCCCGTTAGGGGTCCCCACAGCAGATGCCACCATCTTACCTTAGCATGTCTCATCAACCCTCTGCATGCTCTTCTTCACTACATGAAGCTGCATGTGAGAAAAAAGATAATCAGAAACAATACATTTTAATTTCACAGGTGTGGGTATTCCTTGACACTTTTGCAAAAAGTCAAAAACATATGTGCATACAACTTAGCAAAAATGCATTTGTGGGTTGAGTAGCATAGTTGTGCCCATGAAAATGCCAAACTCTACCAATGCCAAACAGCTTATTCTGCTATTCACTCTTTTTCTTAACTTCTGGTAATCAGATGTCCTGATTAGTGTATGATTAGCATGGACCTTGTTACAGCGATCAGTTGGTATCTGCTCTAAGCATGTCATATTTGCATTTGGCAATGCATTTATTACTTTCTAGGCTGGACTATTATAATTAATTATTATCAGGTTGTTTTGAAAATTCCTTAAAAAAACTTAAATTGATCCAAAACGTTTGCTTTTGGTTTGTTTTTATTGGACTCTTAAGTTGCGAGAGAAGGTACAAAATTGTTAAAATAACTCATCTAGTCATAATAACTTAGCACACACAGAGATGCAGTACCAGCTATTTTGAGTCACTTTTAGTGATCTGGTGGTCTGAAAATAGCTTTGTTTTTTTTCCCAGTAAAGCTAGAACAAAGGCTTGAATTGTTGTAGTCACCACAGGACCCAAACCTGTTGCCGAAACCTGGCAACAGAGTCCTTTTGTAACTGGAGAAAGGTTAATGAAGAGTTAATGACTCCACATTGCAATTAAGTACAGTATCCAGGTGAATGAGTCATTAAAAAAATTACCCTATTCGAGAGTTGTTATGATTTGGATAACTATCCATAGAAAGTAAATCTGATTCTTGTAATAAACTATAAAAATGCTCTTATATGATGTTCAGTTGGGTAGTTAAACATACCCAACTGTGCAGTCTTGCCCTATGGATGTGACCTGTACACTGCCAAGTTGAACGTTACAGCTGTGACTCAGGGGTTGAGTCGGGTCATCCACCAATCAATCAATCCCTCACTCCTCCATTCAGCATGTTGAAGTGTCTTTGGGCAAATTGAACCCCAATGCTTTCATCATAATGATGTAGGAGTCTGCACGTGACAAGTACAG